CCTCTTCACCCTTTTCCCCTCCCCCCTCCCCCCAACCCCCACCAAATGGAAAATACCTCCCGGGGCGGGGGGCGGTGGGGGCACGCCTCTCTGAAGGGCAGCCTACCGTGACCAATAGCAAGCGAGGCTCTGGAGAGGCGGGATTCCTAGTGGCCAATCCGAAGGCATGTAGGTGAAGGCCGAAGGAAGAAGCTAGGGAGCAAGAGGGGGGCGGCCCGAGAGTCAGGGAGGTCCGGCCGCTCGGATGCGCGCAGTGCGCGGCTGCCATTTTGGAATCGGGCAGCGGCGACGGCGGCCGGGTTCGGCCCGAGGGGAAAGGGAAGAGCCAGTCAGGTGGGAGAGAGGCGGTCACGTGGACTTGAGGGGCGGAGAAAAGCGGGCTCCCGCTCGAGGGGAGGGGTCGGCGGCGGCGAGTCACGGGGCTGAGGGTCATGTGGTGGAAGAAGGGCCTTTAGTGGGCTTGGTGGGAGGTCGGAGGTGGGAGAAGGAAGAAGGCGTTGTCTCTCGTTTCAACTGTTAGGGAAAAGGAAAGGAAAAATGATGAATGGGTGGCGTGAGTGCCGGGTCGGAAAATGTGAATGGGTCTCCTTAGCTGTCTCCAGCATGGAGCCTCCTCGTTAAAATATTCCAAGATCTACTAGAAACTGGGCACTTCATTTAATTCAAGTATTGCCATCTCAACTCCCAGCTGTCACAAACTTGACTCATAGATCGGATGGAGGGGTGTTTGTCTCCCACTTTTTCCTGCACTTTATATGGAAGGGCCCCCACCCTAGAAATGGCTGAAAGGGTAGAAGCACAGTTGAGGCATCGTGACGCTGCCAGGACTCTTACCATCTGGCCTTCCAGAAACCCGTCGTCCTTCACAAACTTAACGGACAATTCTGTTAGGCATACCATGATCGTGTTCCAACGCGCCCCAAATTTAACAAAAAACTTGCTTATGAGACCCTGTTAAGCTCTCATCCTTATTACAATTCATGCTTCAAATACAGGCTAAATTATACTCTCTACTAATCCATTGAAAGTGTGCCTCTTAAGGTTACCAGTGATACCCGTGACCAAGTTCAAGGGTCTCTTTAGTTCTTATTTGATATCTGTTGCAGTAGACTCTGAACTACATCCTTCTTGAAGCTTTTTCACCTCCCCAGTGCACCCCTTACCCCAGTTTCCCTGAAACCATAAACCATCAAGTTGTCTTTCTCTTCAGTTAACCTAAATCTGTTCTCTGTTGGTTCTTTAAGAGAGCCCCGGGATCTGATCCTTAGTCTTCTCCTTAGCAGTGCATAGTTTTTTCTGCTGCATACTTAGTGATCTAACCATTTTGATGGCTGAGTGTACCTTTAATGAGGTCCCGATCTGCATATATAAGTACTTTTGGACATTTCTGTCTCCAAATTGGAACTCAGATACTTTCAGAAGTCTACAAAACCTGCACTTTCTCTATTCCTTACCTTCTTGGATAACATCACCATCTATTCATTTAGCCAAACCAGGAAACAGGAACCTGGGAGTAATCTTCCAGGCTCCTCTTTCACTGCTGTGACACCTCCCTACCCCTTCTTACTTTGTCAAGTTGATTATATTTACTAAATGCCCTTTCCTCTTCATTTCTACAGCCACTGCCTCACCTGGGCCATTTATTCATTAGGCCAATATTTACTAAGCACTTTACTATGTGCCAGGCATTCTTTTAGACGCTTAGATATAGTGATGAACAAAACTGACAAGGTTCCTAAGTGAGGTAAAACAAAGAGTACATGAGTAAATTAGGAAATAAACAAGATAACTCAGGGGGTGCTAAGTGCTATAAAGGCCAAAAACAAACAAAATGGAAACCTGAAAGAATCTCCCGAAGTTGTTGCCCAGCTCTTCACCTCATTCTTCCCCCAGTCTCCCCAACACCTTCTCATCCTTTTTTTTTTGTTCTCAAAGAGATTAAGACTCCTTTCACCTGGAGTCTTGATTTCATTCCTTTTCATCTGCTAGAACTTTCCCCTATGTTACAGCTGCCTGAATACAAATCCCCCAACGAGAAGATAAGCGACTTTGAGGGCAAGGATCATGCCTTATACATCTTCGTGTCTCCTCAGGGCCTTGGTTCAGAAAGGTGCTCACCTTTGTGACTGTTAAATGAATTGGTGAATCCCCTGACACCTGAATCAGGCTGCCACAAAAGCATCTCTGGCTCAAATCAGAATAGAAGGTCAGTGAACTCACCTACTAGAGTGTAGTGGTAGTGACTGATGCCTCGTGGCAGAAAACGGTAATAATGAATGAGATCACCTGTGTTGGTCTCTTCCAGGCCTGGGATTCCATGATGCTGCACCCCATGCATGGCAGTAGTTGCTTCAGAAACATTATTTACTTGATAGTGCCAAGTACACATGGGCAATTTAAAAGTACTCTTTGTTTCTGGCCATGAGCTTCAAACCCAGAGGCCTCTGAGTGAAATTCCAGGTTAGGCTCTGCAGGAGAAGTTTGCTGTTGCCACTTCACTTTGTATTTGCAGGCCCTTGGGTGTTGCACCCCAACAGGGAGGGAGATATTGCCAGTTCTGTCATAGTCATTGCACTTAAACCCAAGTTCTGGCAAATGACAGTACGTAATTATGAAGTATTATTATGGTTTTTATCATTATTAGGCACCCAGCTGCCCAGCCCAGGAAACCACAGTAGTAAAACACTGAGAAGCCAAACTCCTCTCCCAGCTGGCATGAATCAATACCAGGTGTATTGACACATAGTCTTGCAGTTCTATTCATCAAAATGAGTCCTTCTATCCCCTCTTTTCAGCAAAATAAAACTTTAAATGAATGGAAAAAGGAAATGTAAAAAATGACCTTTGCCACCATCTTTAAATCAAGTTCCTTTTTTCCCCGTGTCCCTAGAACGATCTCTTCTCTTCTACGTATTTATTGTGTAAATCCTTTTCAATTTTATTCTTGACCTGCCAGTCTTCTAAACATCATTCCCCCATGTCTCCTGAGGATGTATTAGTTAGGGCGGGAGTATAGAGCCCAGGTAAGAGCCCTTTTACTTTCAAAAAAACTTATGATACAGACTAAATAATTCATAAAATGTAGTCAAGCTTGACAAGACATCTGCCTTTTATTAAGTGCCTATTCAATGCCATACTCAGCATGTTCACTTGTGCTATCTGACTTAATCCACATCACCCTTCAAGGTAGGTTTTATTATCCTCATTTTCTTCAAGGTCTCAAAGACGGTAAATGACAGAGCTGAGATTTCAACATAATGATACAAATATGATATTTGTATACTCATGGTAGATGTGTCCACACTAGTGGCTGAATATAGGTATCAGAATTCACTTCCTTTTATCAAATTACATTTTTTTTTTTTTTGTACGAAGTAGATTTTAAGCTGAGCACTGAAAGGACGATTCAGAATTGATGCTGAGGGAATGGTGCCAAACAAGGAGGCCAAATTGGCCATAAGCCTAAAATCAATCAATAAGGAAAGATTTCTTGTTCAGCAGTGAGTCATATTATATTCTTCAAGTACCTTTATTGTCTCAGCTCTTCCAAATGTGGAAGTCAACTTAAGTGTTACAAGTGTGAGCTAAGGATGGAGGAGGATGGTTTGGGGAGAGAATACAATTTTGGATCGAGAACTCTCAAATGGCCCATAAACTGGCACACCTAGCACTGGTTTCTGAAACAAATGAAACCATGGCAGTTTTCCGTGCTGCCAATCAGTTGTTTTTAACTGATGTTTGTAGAGCAATATCTCATTCTCTTTTTTCTAAAACAATTGATTAACAATTAAAAAAAAAAAACATTTAGCACTTACTATGTTGTATGAAGTGGTTTACTTATTTTTCGTTTTTAAAAGAGATTTAAGATTCAATAAAATGCACCAATTTTGTGTAGAGTTTGATCTGTTTTGAGACATGTATACTCTTGTAACCACAGTCATAATCACAAAAAAGAACATTTCCATCACCTCCAAAACATTTCCTTGTGCCCCTTTTGCAGTAAGAATTTTAATACAACTTGTATTTTGATGACTCCCAAATCTAGCTCTCCAGCTTCAATCCTGCTTTCAAACTCTAAGCCTATCTTTTTAGCTACCTGCTTGACATATCTACCTGGATGTTACAAACAGGCTCCTCAAACCAAAAATGAGTAAAAGATAAAGCAAATGCTTTATCTTAGTTACCAGAAAACCCTCATCTCTTTTCTCCAATTCCCGCCTCAAACTATTTTTCTGTATTCTTCAATTTGCTTGAGAGAATCATCTACCAAGTTGTATAAGCTAGAAATGTTTAAAAATAATCTTTTCTCCTCCCTCTT